AAACTAAACAGCCTACAGTATTTTTACAGTCTTTATTTTACAGTTAAAATAAATGTCTATCAAATAAATTTTAATGTTACAACTAATCTTGGATCCCTTTAATGAATCAGGTGAGAATGGCTGCTTGATTTTATCAGGATAAAATAGAAAGAATAAATGGATACGAGCTAAAAATATAAAGAGAAGAATGAGAGATTTACTGTCTTTCTGCCATCAAATATTTCTAAACTCAATTGGAGTAATTTGTTCGTTTATTTAAGCTGTGAGAAGGAGCTCTGAGGACTGACTATTAATTGTCTCTGTGCTTTTCAGCGAGGACAGTTTGGACACGGAGGAAGAAGATGAGTCGGAGTCGGATGATAGGGATTGGCCGGAGCTGTTGAGTGACGAGTTTGTGGTGGGCGGGACGGGACACGGGACGGGGATGCCCAAACTGAAGAGGCGTCAGGGCAGCCGGCACCTGGGTGTAGAGTTGACGCTCTGCCCCAGAGAGGGAGAGGAGGAGGGAGACACTGATCAGTGCGGCAAACATTTCACCTCCTCTGGTAAACACAGGGTTCCTGTAGATCCTTAAAAAGTCTTAAAAGTCATTGAATTCATCAATCTATTAATAAGGCCTTAATTAGCCTTAGAATGTCTTAAATGAATCTTTCAGAGGTCTTAAAAATGTTAACACATTGTAAGTAGGATGACTAATTTGTCTCAAATACTAAAATAATTGGTAAAATTTATTATTTTAAATGTTCACATGCAGACATTCCCTATGACATCACTTCCTGTTACTTCACATGCAAATATCTCAACAACCGTCCCTCTGAGCAGTGTGAAATTTGTTTTGTAATATGTTAATAATGTTGTTTTTCCAAAAATGCATTCATATTTCTTATAAAAATTGATGTCACAGGCACTTTAAGGTTTCATCTATGGTAAATTGGGATTAAAACCCCACTGTGGGTCCTAAAACTACAAGTTTTTTGTCGTTAGAGGATTTCCAGAAATTAAATTAAGTTTAAAACTGACTGCTAAGAATAGTTAGATATGGATAAAAACAATTGGTCTATTATTAGGAATATTTGAATACTTCAACCAAAAATACTTTGATTCATGAGTTTCTGCCACAGTTTTTATTTTTTTGTCATTTGTGTTTATTATGAAATAGGTCTTAAATTTAATTTCACTTGGCATTAAAAAGTCTTAAAAGGTCTTAAATTTAACTTTTCTTAAACTGTAGGAACCCTGAAACAAAACTCAAAGGCTGTGATGTTAGATTAGACAAGAGGAGCTGCAACTTTTAGACTCTTGAATTTTCTTTCAGTCAACTTAACTCAAAAAACTGCTGATTTTTATTAGTTTGTTTTCAGTTATTTTTTTCTGTAAAAGAGATTTTTTTGCCACTTCAGTAGAAAACAGAACAGAAAGTTAGTTTCTTAATTTCTGCATCATCGGTGACTTCAGGTTTTTTATATTATAGTAAAGAAGAAAAAGAAGAAGAGAAATATAAGAACTGTAAAACGATAAACTGCACACCAATAACACACAAGACAGCACACCCGACATCTGACCATCAGAAAATGAAGTTAATTGTTAATTTGATAAATGTTTTATTTCACTCAGATTTTTCTGGTTAAATCAACTGTTGATTCATATTTCTGAATATATTACAAACAGTTGTGTTCCTGTTGATCAAATTTTGAACATATTTTCCTTGATTTTATAAATGACGAGCTGACATCTGTATTTTTTTTCTTTTTTTGTCAGATGAGGATCTCATTAAACACATACTGACAGATGGACAGAACTTCTTTCCTCAGGCAGATGAAAGCGAGATGGTCGACCTGTAAGTCCTGTCCTCTAACAACATTTCACCAGAATCACCTGAAGGATTTGTTGGGTTCATGGTTTTATGACTTGTGCTTCAGGTCGAGTATTTTTGGAGACAAAACAGAAGTGATTCTCCTTCAAAAGCTGAACGAACCTCATCCTCTGGAGTCAGTCAGAAGGGATCCACCAAAAACAGCTTTTACATCAAATACAGGTGTGTTTGTAAAACCCTGTCTGTGGGAAAGTGTTTCAAAATTCAGTATGAATGCTTAATCCCAAAAAGAAAAAAAATTGTGTAGGTCTTCTGGACGGGTTCTTCTCTAATGAAACGTTTCGTCTCTCCTCCAAGAGACTTCTTCAGTCTGAGAGTTTCAGGCAAAATTCAGCCTAAGGCTGGTTCACCCCAAAGATCCGGTGCCCCGGCACAAACAGAGCAATATTGTATATGCTGTTAAGTGCCAGGAGG